ATCCTTCCTGCAGAGTTAAACCAGGGGTGGACTTCAAAAATTGCAGCAACGGGTTCACTGCCCCATTGCTGGGTGTGTGTGACCATGATGGGCGTGGCCTAGTTGGCGTCCTGCACCATGGGGGTGGGGGTGTTCCTTCCCCAGGCTCCGGAGGCTTTCCTCAAGCCTCCAGGAGGGCGAGAACGGCCTCCCCTGAGCTTTAGAGGCCTTCCAGAAACCTCCAGAAGGCCCGTTTCCCCCCCCTTCCCCGAGACTCCACATGGGTCCTGAACTTACCTGGAATGATGACCGGGCCGCGTGGAGACTCCTGGGAGGGGCAGGGTGGGCAGGGCCAACCAGAAGTGAGATTCGGGGTTCACCAAACCACACAGAATCTTTGCTGGAGCATTATCGGACGCATGCAAACCCCCAGCAGCCCCCCCCCCCTGGGTTAAACCTTGGCCGAGCATCATCTGTCAGCCAGACTGGTACTGATGCGGTCAAGAAGACTCAGTGGCAAGGATAGCCATGCGCCTGCATCCCGATGGCCAGCCAAGACCCCAAAAGGTGGATTGACTGCATCCAGGAGGACATGAAATATGTGGGCGTCACCCCCTGAGGGACCCAATTGGAAACAGACCCTGCCATCGTGCAGGTATAACGCTGGGAAGGAGAAGACTGGTATTTAATGGGGGGGGGGGGTTTCACGCTTGTGTAGCTAACCTTTTTCTTCTTCCCGGCTCTGCTCAGAGCAGGGGGATCGTTCCAGCCGTTCTGAGGACCTGCGAGGAGAACAACAAAGAGTCAGTAGGGAAGAATAGCCATTTCAAATTCCAGAGATTTTGCTTTGAGCAAAATCAAAATTTCACGAGGGACCATCAGGAATGACTCTGGGTCAGCTCAACTTTCCTGTTTTTGTTGCAGACGAAAATAAAGGAGAAAGTGCTACCTATACCCCCTTGGCTCTGGTGGGAAAGGTGGAATTGAACTCTTTTAAGAAGTACCGTATTTTTCAGAGTATAAGATGCACCTTTTCCCCTCAAAAAAGAGGGTGAAAATATGGGTGCGTCTTATATACTGAATACATCATTTTTGGCTTCCCGAAACCCCGCCCGCTTCACCAAAATGGCCGTGCAGAGCCTTTAGGACAGTGGTTCTCCACCTGTCGGTCGGGACCCCTTTGGGGGTCGAACGACCTTTTCCCAGGGGTCGCCTAAGACCATTGAAAAACACATATTTTCAAAAAAAGTACAGAAAACATAAAATAATTTTATGGTTGAGGGTCACTACAACATGAGGAACTGTATTAAAGGGTTGCGGCATTAAGAAGGTTGAGACCCACTGCTTTAGGAGGCTTCCAGAGAGCTCTTGGGGGCTGGGGAAGGCAGAAATGAGCAAAAAACTGGCGATTTTTTTGCTCAATTCCCTCCGCCCCCAGTCTCCAGGAGCACTCTACAAGCCTCCTAAAGGCTATTCATGCCCTTTGGGGGGGGGGGTACATTTTCGCGAAAAAGGACCCGTTTTTGAGAGGTCTGTAGAGTGCAAAATGTTTTTAAATTTGCCTCTTCAAAACCTTGGTGCGTCTTATACTCTGAAAAATACGGTAAATAGATAGACGCTAGTGGGGTGTTGTTCTCTCCATTCCAGATCAATAGCTTACTATAAGGAATTGTAATAGGCTGGGACAGAATCTCCAAGGTTAGACCATAAGCAGGGCTCTGCCAGACTAGATCCATGCCCATTTGGCCCAACAGTCTGTTCTCATAATGACCAACCAACTGCATGAGGAAGCCACCAAACTCAGGGGTGAAATGCTATAGGTTTGGACCGGTTCGCTCGAACCGGTAGTAAAAATGCTACTGGTTCGGGTAAACTGGTATTTCCAACGATCAGCTGTGACGCGTGATTTATATTAGCTAGAATCGTCAGATTTCATGCTTTCTAGCTAATCCAAATTGCGCGTCATAGCTGATCGTCGGAAATTGAAGGTCCTGCGCATGCGCGGAGGTCACATCGACTAAACCGGTAGCGAAGATGAGTTGATTTTCACCCCTGATCAAACTCTCAGCAGATGCCTTCAGAGGTAGTCACATGGGCATCAAAGATTAATAGTCGATCTCCATGGCTTCTGTGTATTAGCCCAATTCTTTTTGGAATCTCGG